AAAAGTCTATAAACCGGCAGTTGACTTTTGACTTCAAACTCCCATGACCCGACTGTATGTCAAAATTCACCATTTCTATGGCACTAACTTTGCCTTTTACTCTACCTTCGTGTCTGTCAGTCTCTTGCATCTTTGATTCCCTCTTCCGTTCCCCCTCTCGACTCTTTGTGACTTTGTTATTCCCCCCCCCCTGTGAAGCCCGAAGTCCACCAAAAGGCTATTGATAACTGCCATAAAGCCTTTCATTTGATATAAATAAATAAATGACGACTCATCTTTTATTTAATCTTCTAATATAAAAGGGTTCAAATAACAATCATTATTATTTATCCTACAATCTTGTTACCTTACTATTTCGATTATGAATATTATAAATTTGATTGGCTTTACAAACTGTAAAAATTGTTACATATAATATCTAAAAGTAGATTTCATGCCCCAAAGCTTTTAATTTGTCATATTAAAAATAAGGGGCTCTGATTGTTTCCCAAACTCAGTCAAATGTGACAGACCACTTACATTAACGAAGGCCTCGGGCATATCTTTTTCACGGGCATATTTCCATAAATCTTCATGAGAAATGACGTCGTCGTGGTCAGTGTCAATATTTCTAAAGGCTGTAATAAATCCCCGAACAGCCATGATGCTATGTGCTCTGGCACAAAATGTGATGTGGAGTGTTACTCTACAGATTACCCCTATTCTTCTTCTCAATCACTAACTTGCCAATCAGTGGCTACATCCACTGCGCTCAGCTGCACACTTCTGCGTGCGCGTGTAAATACTCACGAGAGCATACATTTAAATTCTGAGGGTGATTACTTTGACTCGGATCGGATTGGTAAAAGGAGTTGGGGGGGGGGGTGAATTTCACTGCATTTATCCTTTTCTGTGTCGCTTCTCTACCAATATATCTTACCTTGCTAGTTTACACGGAAATATACCTATTAACCATTAGCAACAGCCAATTCTTGCTGCCAAATGGCAAGGGTAAGGGCGAGTAACACCATTTGGTATGCATATATGCATGCAGTGAATCTTTACGCGTTATGAAAGCGAGAGCTTCTTTTAGCGCTAAGAAGAGAAAAACTTTTGAACAACCACCAATCATCAAGACCTCGTGAATCAGGTCTTTCATGTGATCACTCGATGAATCCGAAATAAGATAAAAGCAGGTTATATTTTGTCGCAATTACCTCATTTCTACTCCAAGTTGACCAATACGCTATATTTATGAATCTTACTTTTCTACTCCTCATGTTAAATTATTTTTAAGCTTTTAAGCTGTCGTGACTCATGTGTGCGTTTTTTCGTCATGGCAGACTTTACTAGATGAACTCATAAGAAATCTATCAAGGATGTTTATCCATTAGTGAGAGCACTATTGATTTACTAATTGGCAGTTTGTAGATTTTATTACAAATCGCACTGCTTATGAGCGACCTCATGGCATGAAAATGGCCTCACCTTTCTTTGTTTTTCTTTAGACTACAAAAAAGTTACTCAAATTTGTATCCTTATTTTTTTACTTATTTACATTATATACCATTTTCGATCGACTAAAAGAAAGCTTCTTTAGTTGCTCAATCTAGTTTTCGCTCCTGGGGCTTTGACTTAAATAAAAATAAAATTGATCAAATATATAGGAAATATTTATTTATATATACCAAATGGCAGGCTTTATGATAGTTATCATTATCCCTTTAGTTGACTTCAGGCTTCACAGAGGGAGAGGAACATCAAATCGAAAAAAGTCGAGAGTGGGGGGGATGGTAGTTTGAAGTCAGAAGTCAACTGCCGGTTTATTGAATTTTTTGCCGTATGAGAATACGTTGCCCAGGGTGCACCACGTGGAGGTAAGTCTATCGCACACCCCATATCGAAAATATACCAGACAGTTTACGGCTTTCTTGTTAACCAAATTTCAATGAGCTATGCAGGCGGACTCGTTAAGCTTAATGTGCCCAGTTGATATAATCACGACTGGTGGAAATGGTGAGACAATAAACTTACAATACAGGCGTTAATAAACGATTTGCATTGTGACAAAAGTGTGAAAGTATAAATTTTATCCATTCAGCTTACTAAATTAAGTTTGATCATAACCGTAACAAACTCGGAGATGCAGCGTTTTTCACTAATGATTTAAAAATACTAAGAGAGAATGGCTTCCAGTGAATCTTTATTTAAGTTATTTCATAGGCAAGAAGTTCAGTTTGGTCAAGTGGATTAAGGCTGTCAAAGAGATGGGAATTGTAGCGAGTGCTTTGCAGTCCTTTCTGGCAAAATCTCCCGTTAGGAAATTGCTTCTGAAATTAACTAAGCTACCTCAAAGATGAAGAGGAAGCAGAGTGTACTGTGTGAGAATGGCACTTATTCTGGTTGTGGCTTCGCTACTCAAGCAGCGACTATTGATCGCTGGTTGGCTGAGAGGTCCCGCACTCGTACCTGCATTTTGATCCTTAGCCCAATCAGCATCAAGGCCGCACGTTTCAAATTCGTTGCTTCAGTCATGTTAACGTTGCACTTAAATAGTTATTCCTGCGGAAAGCTTCTGCTGATTTATTTTGACAAAAGCGTTAGAGTATCTCAAAGTAGGTTAATATTTAATCATAAAAAAGAAATGTGAAATGATTTTATAATATACCGCAATATTTACTAGGCCGGTTTCTAACCTAAATATTAATCAGACTTTCACTTATGGAGAAAATAAAAATTCACACATCTCATGACTCACTTTTTGTGCTTAATAAATATGCTTTAGTTTGCCATAATTTCCTTTGGCAAAGAATTAAAAGTGATGCAAGTTGTAAAATGATTACAGTACGTACCTATTTATGACAAGTACAAAATCCATATTCCGAAATAGCAGCCTAAAGTTGTTTTAATTTCTATCAAAACTGTATGTTGTGGCGGATTCATTATATTCATTACTTGGCGAAATCCACTACTTTAAAATTGTTCACGAAAGTATATGAAATATTTCAACGGTATCGATGGGCTAGAATGTATGAAGTCAGTGGCTTTGACTACAATGTATAGAAAACTGTATAATTAAACAGTCAGTGAAGGCAACTTTGAAGAACAGTGATGTCTGATTAGTTGAGGAGGCCTCGCCCGCATCACGCGACAGATAGCACGCTCGCACTTTTCATGATATTGTTGCACTTAGGAGGTTTCTTTTGGTTGGTCTCGATGGCGCGGCATAAACCACAATGCACTTCGCAAGAAGCTACAGTTGTAAGTTTCTAATAATCCAAGTAGATTTCAAGAAAGTATCTCGGATATTGTGAAATTAAATACGGTATATTCAAAGGATTCGTTTAAGATGCTAGAGAGAAGGGTAAATATGCGCCGCCTAACCAAATGTTTTTCAGAATCTTGAAAGCTGATCTGCGTTGTTTAGCTTGAAAATTCCGGACTTTGATGGACTAAATCTCTCTGTATTTCCCACAGATTATATCAGGCTTATGGGTAGTATAAAGTTCATGAGCAAACGCGAAACATAATAATTATGGCCCCGCCACTTTTCAAAACCTCATGAAGAAAAATAATGTGCATAAACTATACCACCGCAAATGATCCGTGAACTTAACATTTACAAAATAAATGTTGAAAGGTTTAAAGGATGTAAAATAACTGCAAATTCATTAACTTTATTGATACATTTAATAACTGGAATATCGGTAGCCCATTCAAGAATATTTGAAAGTAATTTCGAATCTTACAGAGTGAGGATGCTCTCACTCACGAACATCGTGTTGTGAAGTTTTGATTTAAATAGTTCAAGAAATTTCATTGAGTTTAGAATAGGGTTGAATAAGGTTATTTACACTCTCTGGTTTTAAATTTGCATATTTATATGAGGCAGAACATTAAAAAGATGTGCGGGGTTGGTATTTCAGTTGACGATCACAGTCAATGCTTATTTTTTTATTTCATTATGAGTGCGCATGCGGGGTGTAAGTGATTCAATTCCTTTATACCAAACGTCCCAGACAAAAGCAGTTCACATGACAAAATTTTGAATATGCCGACAAAATCCAAAAGCGCTCTTCTCACCAGAACAGAAATGCACTTAAAGCAGTGAATCTTTTCTCAAAGTATTTACAATATAACGGAAATTTGAAAAGGCTAGTGAATTAGTACTCTAAAACAGGCTTATGAAATATTCAAGAAGCTTCATAATTTATCACATATTCACATGTTATTTGGACAAAAGTGTATAAAATCACATCAGCTACACTTGAAAAGCTTTACTGTAAAAAACATCTATATATATATATATATATATATATATATATTTACCCAAATCTGCAAAACAAGGAGTTAATTTGAAAATTTTACGACGAAATAAATTTTAGGACATGAAATTCTATAACTTGAAGAGTACTTAAATTTGAACCGGTCATCACTCCGTATTTATGTTCACTAATAGCCTTGAATGTTTGGGGCTTACAAAAATATTATGGTTGTCAAACAGTGAAGAACGTCCGAATTAACTCATGAAAAATGCACCCAACTGCTTTCACGGGTGTCTCACAGCAGACTGATGCCTCAGACTTAATGAGCTTTCGTGGTATCAGACGAAGTCCAAAGACGTATGGAACATATTTCAAACGGCGATAGTACCTTCTGCTACTAGTCTAGAAGCAGTGGAGTTTACTTTAAAAGAGGATCGTATGGTCCCCTGCAGGGCGTTAAAGGGCTAAAGACTAAATGCCAAATTGGATTACTTCTAATCTAAGGAATAAAGGATCTCCAATCGCCAATGCATAAAAGCGCCCTTTTAAACCTATCTAGCAGATTTTGAATAAACCAGCTGATATGCTTAAATAAGCACAAGATCAATTCCCACAATTTATGAGTAAGTAAACAACGTTAAAATTAGAAAAGCCGAATTTACATCTTAATTTGTTAAATAGATTTCCCCAAGAAACCTCATAAAATGATGCAAAATCATTTCATCGCTAAAAATCTGTCAATGTGATTAAAGTTATTAATGAAAATTAAGTTGCAATCTCTCATCATTTTTCATTTTTAGAATTTTTTTATTTAAAACTTGACTTCTTTCAGGTCATTTTTGAAGTCGAGGTATTTGAAAGAAGCAATAATCGAAAAGGGGTCATTTTAACCAAAGTAAGTTCTATTTATTCTAAATTTTAGAGTCACCAAACCAAATGAACGTCCTCATAAATATTTATCCATTAATTGACATTAAATAGATTCATTTTTCTTTCCCCTTTTCAAAAAGCCAGAAAACAGTAATATTATGGAAGAGATTACTTCACCATAAGAGTTTATAAATCATGAGATCTAAACATCGATTTATTACATTATACAACATGCAAAAAATACTGCACACCCCAGATATTGTATTGATCACACATTTTAAGAGAGTAAATGACTTTAATTAAATTATAAAAATAAATCAGTACCGATTCAAGTTTGAAACTGCATACAGTCTTAGTGAAAATCAAAGTTTTAATTTAGCTTGATTTAATAAGATGAAAAAATGTGAGATAATCTAGCAAATTTTTACAAGTAAATGTCAATTGTTTCGTTAAAATTAATGATTAATACAAGTGAATATTCTACAAGACACAATTTGATTCAATATTTAAATTAATGTAAAAGATCAGGATTCTATTGATCTGATGCAAGTCTTAGAAATAGCACTTTATTTTAGTATGAAATTTGCATGAATTTACTGCCATTATATACTACTTTCAAGGGAATGAGCCATTTTGACGCTGGATAAGGAGAAATGCTTAGTAAGAGATGAGTTTTTACAAATGCGAAAAACCTGAAGATATTGTTGCTTCCTTCCTTGAATTGTATTGTTTATCTGGTACTAGTGAAGAGAAATTGAAATCGAATTTATTTTGCATTAATAAATGTTAAAACAAGAAATTTATTTCTAAGCGTTTTGCTAAGACAGGCAGCATCTATACTTATCCAAGTGGAAAATTATTTACTGATTTCTTCCCTTTTATTGAAATACTTACATACATTACATCTATTAGAAAGTTCAGTCATTCAATGACACACCTTGGTTGCTTGAAAATTAATAGAAGACAAGCTAACTTTGTAGAGTATTTTCCACACCTCTGTCAATCAGATACACTCTACCGGGGTTAAATTGAATGACAATCCGACTAGTAAGTGTTTCCAGTCCCAAACAAAGCCAACAAATAAGAAAACAGTGCACAAAAGCAAAGCAAAGAGAAATAAAACCAGGATGTAGGTTGGAAAACCATAGTGGTTGTTAGAGTGAATTTTCGCTCATTAGAACCACAATCCTCCCTCCAATACGTGTATTTCTAACAACTACACCCTCTGAGCTATTTTTAATTACCAATTGGAGACAGTCAAACTATACATTATGAATAGAATATAGAGAAAAAGAGTAAGCCATCATCAACAGAGGCAGAAAATACCGGCAACCTGTCAAAAAGTCGTTAGCAATTGCAGAGATCGAATTTTCTTTGTTCCATAAATGGACCTCACAAGTTTTTTAGTTAAATCAATAAGATCATTGGCAAGTGTCTTTAAATGCACTCGATTTTACCATATTTTCAACTCTTCAATTAATTTAGGCCTCATATGAAGACCCAGCTATTTGACGTACACTTAGATAAATCATTTCTAGATACTTAAGATATTATTACACCAAAATAAGACGCTAATAACTATTGTTGGTGATAAGAGAAGCAATTATACTTTGGAAGCACTAAAAAATGACCTAAATAAATGATAAAAAATAAGAAGAGAATTTTAGGAGCAATCGTTTCCATTAACCAGGAGGATTTTCTTCTTCGGCTTCAAAAATCCCGATAACAAAAGGTTATGGAGTTTAATAGTAGCTTATCAATAGTTTGCCACGATAGTTGAATTGAGTTAGATCGGTTAAGCATGTCCTTAAAATGATCGAAAACCACATACTTTTGGATGACGAATTGGCACATGCCGGGCCAGTGTATGTTTACTTCAGATTCTGCTTCGTTATTTGATAATGCTCACCCATTAGGGGGAATTGAAAAATGTAAATAAGCTCATTCTAAAATTATTTATAATATTTTATTTAAGCCTCCACATCTTTCCAACATACTTCTCGAACAATTCGATATCTAGGACACGTGCAGTAAGGGAAGATATAAACAAGCGACGAATGGAACGATATTGAGTTTCTAGAGCATCACCAATAAGCCCCACTCGAACTGTTCGTTTGGCACTTCGGCCTGAGACATCACTTGCTGGTAGAAACTGTTCTGGACGTGCGATAATATTACACCGATTTCCCCAGAAACTCAACAAACCTATTCGTAGTAGACCCGTTGGTTTGTGTTGGCTAATCTTCAAAAAAAAACTTGAATCACTAGTGCTACTTTTAACAAATAAGTAGTACCGAGGTATAACTTACCACACCGACGACTTTTGTTGAATAGTGGCTGAAGAGACCTAATGTAGTCAGTGACAACAGAGAAGATCCGAAAACAAACCAGCATAAATCTGAGCTAGCTTGACCATAGAAATGAAACGCCACAGATATCGGTGTTCCAACGATCAATGAAAACGTAAGAAGGAGTTTTAGTTTCGAAAAGGCCTGAATTAACGGCATTGCTCGAAAACAATAGATAACCTGCCAATCTTCGCGCCGACCAGAATTTTTTATCAAGTTATCAATTTCCGCCTTAGGGAGATTGAAGCCATTTATAGGTACTTCAGTAACTGATGCATCTAAACGTTTTTCATGAGATTTCGTTCCGGGGATGATGGGTTTTAAACGTTGAACTTGAGATAAGAATCGTACATTAAAATGAAAACACTGGAAAGGCCTCGCAATGATAAGACGATTCATCCTGAAAGCGGAAACTAGGAATAAACGTTATTGGTCTGCAGGGAAAGAAGACAAGCTAATATATGTAATTCTTTCTGCTATTTTCGCGGTCCATATTGATTGGCCGTTTCCACACAAGCATAAAATGCTCAAAATAAAGTCAGGGAAGAATAGGTTTTAAAGAAATTTATTGAAAAAGTAGAACAAAAATAAAGTGAACAACAGCAAAAGAATAAAATTGGAAAATAACAAAATTCACGGGGGGTTGTTCAGCTGAAATGGATGAAAGAAAAAAAACGTTAGCAAGTGGTTGAACCTGTACTAACCTGCACTTTTTAGCAAACATGAAATAGGCATAATATAACTTGATCCTTAGTTGAAAAAAATTTACCAGAGATAATTAGTTTCAAGGCAAGAGAAGTATCAACAACCACATTTTAGATTTTTTATGTGCATGCTTATCGAATACCATCCCAACTATAGCTGGTTTACAAATTACAATATAAAAATAAATCGTTGTGGCGAAAATCAGTGCAGTTGTTAATAGGCAGTTTGCGAAGTAAAATATCTATCGACAAACGGACATCAAGTAGTACTTGAACTAAAAATAAGTACTCTCCTCTTCGAAGCAGTCATTTAAGACTTGAGGCCCCCCCCCCACAAACTCACATCAGCTAGAAAACCACAGTGACAACTACAAGGACAGTGCTCTTCGGATGTGTCCTCCTATGAGGACGACGATAAGTCACCTCTCCCATTTTCCTAAACACCACCTTAAGGTTGATTTCATGTACCCACGTGGAATTTCTGACCACTGAAGCAGACAATCCATGCACAACTAACGAGAGTAATCGATAATAGGTCATATGTATGCTTTCAGGAAGATTCACCGCCTACCTGAACAGGACTCAGGGAAAGTTGAAATCGGCTGGCAGTCAGTTTATAGAGGCCACACACTATACATGTACGGGGCATTGCGTAGAAAGCCAATACTGCAAGAGCTCCGCTACTAGACAGAATTAAAACTGGTTTTGAGGCCCTTCCATAAACGTTAATGAGGGTTATTTAGAGCAGATCTCTTTGAAATAGAGCACTTTTCTTATCTATCGATTGAATTCTCTTCAAATCTATTATACTTTGAGGCTATCAATCACTTCTTTCCTTTCCCTGATGAGATCATCAAAGCCACCCTGTATGCTTTAATTCGTAAGACCTCTCAGATGCTCACCCCAATAAACCTATAACTGTTTTTCTATGTGAAAAGGATATTGTAAAAAGCGGACCTTATTTTGCGAGGAATGTTGAAATAATGCATCTCTGTTTGCCAGCTCCTCCAATAGACGAAGTTTCTCTTCCCTCAGTATGCGAATTTCCTAAATGGACAAAGAGATGGAATTAAGATCAAGTTACCTCCTGTATGAACTAATGGGGATAAATACGTACGTGTAAAGCATCGGTTAAGTTGGTAGGCTCTTGGGCGAAATCAAATGAAAATCGGGAGGTGGTGTATGATGTATCTATGGGAAAGGTAGCTACGGGAGCAGACTGTGGAACACCATTAACATAGATCTAACAAGGAATGAAAGATTAATGCAAGATGTCTAAGGACACAATGAAAATAAAGTGTGAAGCAGACACAGGATTATATGGGATGATCTGAAACTGTAACGAGTAAGAGTTTAATATTCACTGAAACGTCTACGGTATTAAGAGACTAATTGCCATATATGGGATGAAAAACGCTCACTACTTCTTCTTAGAACCCAATTTGTATGGAAAAAGGAGCAGGTTAACCACTGCGCCACTAATCAGCTTGGCGGAATCCGAAAAGGGCTTTGCAGCACAAATATGCTTACTGGGAGAAGGGGAATCTTTTCAACAAAAATAGTCAAGTCAAGTAACTGCGATCTCAGCTTCTTTGGTTAAATAACACTTCATTGACATATCTTGCTTATGACAAATACAAACATATACCCCGTGGCAATGCAAAGGACAGAAGGTGTATTAACAAGCTCAGAAGAGTAAAGGGATAACCCACTGGGGCAGTATTCGGAGAGTGATTCCCTGTTGGATCGGCAATCGAGGGTAAATGCGACGAATTCTACAAAGAAAAACGGGGATGCTGTTTATTAACTCGTCAGTATAAGTACTACAGATATCAGTTAGCGCTAGTGAAAGCCACACACACACACACACACACAAACTAGCTGAGATCAAACTTCAAGTAACTTGATTAAAAAACTGACCCTTTAAGAGGTAATTGCTAGAACATGACCAAAAACGAAGTTGCGAATTCATCACATGAGTGACGCTAACACCATTATTACATTATAACATTGGGCAGTAAAATGAGAGTTGGAGTAAAGAAAGCATACGCTAAATCGAAATTTGCCACCAACCCCGAATTTCGATAGAGGCTCTCAGAAATCGGTCTTCAGAGAAACCCCTACTTCACTATCCCTCAAGTTGACCACTGTAGTGACCATCCGCAGCATTAGAAGCACCGATTTGACAGACGTACGAAATTGATACAACAACTTCTATATGTATTCCCTTTTAAAGATTCAGTTATTTGCAGTTGTCAAACTCCAACCTAGATAATTCTAGAGGCCAATGTTCAAATTGAGGTAAAGGCGAAACAATTCAAAATATCTTAGAAATTAAACTTTGAAACCTCAAGAGAAACTCCCTGTAGTTGCACATCTACAATCGAAATTTTAGAATCTTACGCATTTAACAATTACACAAATTAGAGGACAGTAGGGAATGTTCTAGTTTGAATAAGTTGGTAAAAGACGATAAGTATAGGTAGATAGAGTTGTACTCAAATGCCAAGAGCATAAGAGCAAATGATGAATAGCAACAGCACACCGCACAATTAAAAGCGAAATTGATTGAAGTAAATTTATTTCAGAGTTATTAAGGAAATTTTATTGTTTTGAACTTAAAATGATGTAGAAATCTAGGTTAGGTTGACGTAAGGTTAATAGCAAATATAAATAAATAAATGATTTACTCATTGCATTATTATTATCATTATTAATTAATTAATTATAATAATGAACATATAATAATGAACATATTTTCTGTTTTTTTAGAAAGACTGAACGATTTGAGTGAAAGTAAACTCTTCATTATTTATAAATGGCTGTTAAAGAGATTCGCTGAGTTAAAATTAACATTCCGTTTAGTGGCTAGTGGCAATGTTTAGAACTAGACCGTTCATTATTGACTAAAGAGACGAATAAATGCTATCTTCAATCCCAATGCCACCAAAACTAAGCTGAAATGTCTCAAATTAGGAAGACACTATGGACAAAGGGACATTTAATCACAACTATAGTTGCCAAGGTAACATTGCTCTTCTGAAGCTCAATTTTCAAACTAACTTTGCTCTCCTTCCAGCGAATGCAACGCTTAAATTCTTAACTTACAACGTAATTCCAATAAGATAAACAATTAACCAAGAATGATCATGATCCCGCAATCAATTACCATAACAATGATTGCAGGCATCATGGAGAATTCAATCAAAGTAAAACTCTTGAAGCTCCGAATTCATTTACTAGACTCAACAGTAAACATTTTAATAGGGCTTGCGTCTAGATGCTAGCAGAGCTTTTGTCTCGTCCAATGAAAATGATAATTTCGTAAATGGGGTGTGCGATAGACTTACCTTCACGTGGTACACCCTGGGCAACGTATACTCATACGGCAAAAAAGTCTGTTAGCCGGCAGTTGACTTCTTACTTCAAACTACC